TCATTACCCAACTAGGAAACTTCATCAATACTAGAAGAGAGGGTGGTTGGCAGAGAGGAGGAGGAGGAGAAGGTAGAAGAAAAGGATTGTGGGAGTTGAAGTCCACAAGTCATAAAAGGGTCAAGTTTGAAGATCCCTGGCTTAGGCACTGGTAGTTGAACACAGATCTTTTAAATATTTATATATTACTGTCTTTTACTCATCTAGGTGAAATGTTATCATATATTGCTGGTCTGTGTATGAGATGCCATACGCTAGATAAATTATGCAAGGTTGCTGTCCGAAAGTCCCATATCAGTCACGAGTCGCTCCAATTAAATGGATCGTATTGGAGAATCTTAAGGACGCCTAACAGCTTCTAGATCAAATTGTTTGATCTGCAATTTCTAGATGCAGCCCTCCGATGTCAGTGAGATGGTTGCGTGGAGGGGAACATAATTCTTTGCATCTAACCCAGTGGTGGGATTCAAATACGTGAACAACCGGTCCTCTGTGTGGATGCCGCTTCCGGAAGTCCATTCTGGGCCTGGGCAACAAAAAAAATTATCTACCGGTTCTGCCAAAGTGGTGCTAACTGACTGAATCCCGCCAGTGATCTAACCTATTTATCCTACCTCAAGATCTTAACTTCCTGTGGTTGCAGCAATCATGTTCCATGTCGGACGTGACACAGCGACTGAATTTCTGCCCCTTTCGACTGAGTTTTTAAGAAACAAAGCTTCTTTTATTTCATCAAGGTCTCTATTAGACGCTGCAAAGTATTTCAAATAAAGGCAGTAAAGATTTATAAAAAAGCTGCCATCTTTACAGCTAAAAATAGCCCTCAATTAATTCAGGATCCCCCGGCTGCGGTAGATGTTCTTTACAAGGGCCTGTTTGTTTTTTTTAAAACAGGGTGTACTAATTCCCTGTTCAATTTTCTACAAAGTTAATTTCATTCATGGATGTGCATATATTGAGTGTAATCTGAACATCTGGGTAAGGGGATGGATAGACACACGGCTGATTTATGAACATAGCAGGGTTTTTTCTGAATGCAAATCAGGAAATTACCAGGGATTTTGTAACTGATTTCATTCAGTTACTCTATTTTTTTTTTTTCAAGATTGCCTCACATAACAGGATTGTGTTTCCAGAATGCTTGTAAGATTTACTGTCTTGCCCAGGATTTTGGCACTATAGAATAGTTAAAAAGATAAATAATTATATATTATCATGTGCAATAATTATGACTAAGTGATTATCATTGGATTGATCCCCTAGGCCTAGGATATACGTAGGAATTCTTCCGGAAAAAATATTACAAGTAGTTCTCGACTGACGGCCACAATTGAGCACGAAATTTATGTTGCTAAGCAAGACACGTGTTAAGTGAGTTTTGCTTCCTTTTTTGACCTTTCTTGTGAGACTTGTTAAGTGGGTTGTGGCAGTAGTTACACAGTTGTTAAATGAATCTGGCTTCCCCATTGACTTTGTTTGTCAGATGGTCGCAAAAGAGGATCACGTGACCCTGGTACACTGCAACCCTCATAAATATGAGTCAGTTGCTAAGTGTCTGAATTTTAATCCCATGACCACTGCAATGGTCATAAGTCACTTTTTCCAGTGGCTGTTGTAACTCTGAACGATCACTAAAGGAACTGTTGTAAGTCAAGGACTAGCTGTACATTGGTTGGGATCTACATTGGGTGTTTTCTTTGATCCCTACTGACTCACTTCTCTGCAAATGTTTTTTTTAATTATTTGTATCCTGCGTTTTTATGGTGCTTATAGCTGTCCTTGCCTTGGTGACCTGCAGCCAGTTCTTCCTGAACAACAAAACACACATGAAAACAGTTTAATTTTCTTTAATTTCTTTCCCTTCCTTTTGTTTTATATCTTATGGAACAGAGTCCCTGAGATGCAGCCCCCCTGAAAGCTATAAAATTCCAAATGAGAAATACCACCCACCAACTTTATGGAGCAAAAATCAAACAATATGCCAAAAACATTTGACACACCCTTGAAAGATATTTGTAGTCCCAGTACACTGTCTGCTCTGTTGATGGCAAAGGAAAACATCACTTTCTATCCATTGTTCTAGCTGTTATTTGAATGTTTTCAATTTTTCATGGCAGAGAGAGCATTTCTCTGTCCAAAACTAAGAAAGCTTCTCAAATTATACGTCGATACTTCTTCCATAGACTGGAACTTGAGATAGCTATTGCATGAATCCTAAATGCCTCCTGTTGGATTATTTTGTGCATTATCTAAGAATGTAACAGCTTTCTTACATGGGTTGGGATGGTTTTGGTCACCACATTATAAAAAAAGATGTTGATATTTTGGAAAAAGTGCAGAGAAGAGCAACTAAGATGAATAAGGGCCTGAAGACTAAAACATGTGAAGAAAGAATTGGGTATGGCTAGTCTAGAGAAAAGAATGATAGCAGTGTTTCAATATTTGAGGGGCTGCCACAAAGAAGAGGGGATCAACCTATTTTCCAAAGCACCTGAAGGCAGGACAAGAAATAATGGATAGAAACTAACCAAGGAAAGAACCAGCCTAGAACTAAAGAGGAATTTCTGAAACGGGGAGAACAATTAATCAGTGGAACTACTTGCCTCCAGAAGTTGTGGGTGCTCCATCACTGGAGGTTTTTAAGAAAAGACCAGACCGCCATTTGTCTGAAATGGTATAGGGTTTCCTGCTTAAGCAAGGGGTTGGACTAGAAGACCTCCAAGGTCCCTTCCAGCTCTAGTCTGATTTTAAAAAAATAATTTTCATATTCTGATTGATTGACTTTCTGACTGATTGATGTTTCTCAACCTTGGCCATTTTAAGATGGGTGGACTTCAACTCCCATTATTCCCCAGCCAAATGTTTAGAAGTGGACAATAATTAACAAGCTAATTATTTTATCGATGGGCAAAGAATTCCTTGGTAGACATTTTGTGACGGTGGCTCTCAACATTTCAAAAATGATTACTGGGCCAAAGATATGAGACACTTTCCTAGTTGGAGGCAGCTGTGAACTTGGGGGGCAGAGGAACTGCAGAAAACTAGAGATAAATAATTGCCTTATGAACAGAGGTCATTTATGCAATAGCTGTGACTGACATTCTTGTATTGGTGAGCTTATTACATGCATGTGATAAAGCATCTTTATCCCCCTTCAATACATGAGATCATCAAAGAACTTTTGGTGAACCATCACTCCTTTTTTTTGTGGTCAAATCTGATTTTGTAGCTCTTGGGCGGTAAGAATGATTGTTCCATGGATAATGTTATCTATCACCAGTGCGACTGCACTGTTTATGTTCGCTAAAAACCAAAGAACAGTGCATTTACAATATTTTTTTCTTGTCAGTACAAATGAAGAATAATTTTGCATTTGCCATAGGTTAAATAAATAAAAAAAAATCAATCTTGCTGCTAAGATTGAGCTTGTCTTGATAGACTTGCAATTTGTAGAAACACCTTTAATTATTTCTTAACCAGATGTCACTGGATACTGAGTGGTGATGGTGGACCTCATGACCTTGGACATAATTTCCTAGATAATCATGGTGGTGTTCACACATACATATTTACCTCTTAACTCATGTTAACAAAATGCAATTGCTCTGTTAACATATTAAGCTATGCCCAAACATTTTAAAAAAACAACCGTATTACGTGACAGTGTGGTTCACATAATAGGCTGAAACCGTGGGTGTGTTCCTATATGCTGAAATTATTAACCATCCAATCCCGTTCAGACTAGCCTAGTTGGTGGTGTGAACCCAGAGCAAAACAAATGACTTCCTAACCATTACAGCAGTGGTTCTCAACCTGTGGGTCGGGACCTCATTTGGGGTCGAACGACCATTTCACGGGGGTCGCCAAACAACGCAGTCTGCCATTTTTTCCCCCTTTTCCTTAGCTGTGCTACTCCCTTTTATTCTATTGGCTTTTGAAAGCCAATAGAATAGACTCTCTTGAATAGAGTCTAATTCTATTGGCTTTCAAAAGCCAATAGGAATTGTCCAGGCTGTCTCTGCCCTGCTGAGCCCGCCAAAAGTCCCATTCTGCAAACGGTGCTGCACCAGTTGAGTAGTCCTCGACTTACGACCGGTTGAGTAGTCCTCGACTTACGACCGGTTGGGGGTCGCGGCATTAAAGAGGTTGAGAACCTTTACATTACAGTGTTGGGTGTCAAAATTAGAGCAGTGTTTCTCAACCTTAGCAACTTTAAGATGGGTGGACTTCAAGTTCCAGAATTCTCCAACCAGCCAGCGTTAGAAGAAATCCATAATCTTAAAAAGTTCTAAAGTTGTCCTTATACTCTCCTCTGTGTATAGGAATTCATATTAAAACACCTTAGACATACGAGTGTTTAACTTCTGCTTGAAAAGACTTTGTTGTGCGAAGCCAGGCACACTGAGAAAATGAATGATTCCCTCCGAAGCAATTAACCTTTTAAAAAAATATTAAAGCACATGTGTTTTGCAGTCACGAGGCTCGGTAAATCCACTGTTTATCACCATGCCAAATGAATGTTGAGTTATTGGCAAAAGGTAAATCACTGGTGAAAGGATTCTATTAGTGCCTTTTTCTCCCAAAAGACAGATTGATTGGTGCATGCTTAATTGGATATAGCCATACCTATGGTACAAAGATAGACTATTATTGCAATATTTTCATATGAGAGAGAGAGAGAGAGAGAGAGGGAGGGAGGGAGAGAGATGTTAGAGAGAGAGAGAGAGAGGGAGGGAGGGAGGGACGGACGGACGGACGGACAGACAGACAGACAGCCCAGTTTAGGATTTATGCTGGCGCGACACTTGTGTAAAAAAACCAAGATGACAAAATCTGGGTTGTCTTCCTTTTCGTGTTGGGTTAATGATGTTATTGGACACCAGGAAAAAAGGACCATTAGGTCAAAACAGTTTTTTTTAAAAAACACCACATAAGCGTTTAACTTCGTCAAATCTTTTCTTCTGTTTTTCCTTGCTTTTTTTTTTTCAATTTTTTTTAAGGAAATACAAGACCATCTTCTCTCCAAGTTAAAAGCCGTGGAAGTTATTCAGGAAAAGAATACTTGCCTGCAAGAGGAAATCGCTTCTCTGAAAAATACACTTGGCTATATTAAAGGGTAGGTTATTCACTTAACTGGAAACTCTCCACTTATTTTCTGCCTTATGTAAACTTGCTCTGGTTTCCCTGGGTAACCACATATCACAGCATCTTTTTTATACGTTTATTGTTTTATCATAGATAATAAAATACAGAACAGAAGAACAAACAAACAAAATGTAGAATAGAATAGAATAGAATAGAATAGAATAGAATAGAATAGAATAGAATAGAGCTGGAAGGGACCTTGGAGGTCTTCTAGTCCAGCCCCCCGCTCAAGCAGGAGAACCTATACCATCTCAGACAACTGACTATCCAGTCTCTTCTTAACAATCTCCAATAACAAAACAAAAACATACATTCAACCCTAGCCACAAGAAAGAAAGAAAGAAAGAAAGAAAGAAAGAAAGAAAGAAAGAAAGAAAGAAATATTGTACAAAAAAGGAGAGGAAACTAGTCAATTAAATGTAACATTTAACATGTAACATTTAACATATCTCCTCCTCCTTCTCCTCCTTCTCCTCCTCCTCCTCCTCCTCCTTCTCCTCCTCCTTCTCTTCCCAAAATTATGTGGGCACAAGAGGGCAAAGATCAGATTGAATCTGATCTAGTTTCACCCTAGTGCATATTGTCAGTCTGGGAAGATTCCTGTCTTATGGGCTTAAGCAATAAAGTAGCTAACTGAACTCTTCGTGTATGGATCTGATGGCTTATGCATGATAGGCTGGTTTTCAATGTCCATTACAGAACTGAGCCAGCACTCTATCAGTTGCCTGCCGCTCCAGTCCATTTCCAGCATATTTCAGAGTCTAAAACCAGCATCACAGCCAAGCCTTCCGAGAAAGTCGTATTTTCCCAGTTCACAGAGTCCACGTCAACAGTCACTCTTCTTCGTGGGAGATCTTCGTCTAGGACAGTCCGATTCCCTGTATCTTCTCTTGTGACAGTGAACAAATCTTTAAGTAAGTCCGCATCTAAGACCAGGAAGTTTAAAAAAAAAACAATACTTTTTTTTAGGCCAATCATTTCCCCAATTTTGCCCAACTCAGCCCTGGTCAATTCCCATTATTATCAGCTAAAATGATCAATGAAAACTGGAAGAATTGAATTAAAGAATTAAATGAAATATTTTTTAAAAAAACAGGTGATTAAATACAGATGGAGCCAGCCAGTCTGGTGTCGTGGTTAAGCTAGAACTTCTTCAAAGACTCCAACATCTAGATCAGAGGTCTTCAAACTTAGTCCTTTTATGACTTGTGGATTTTAACTCCCAGAATTCCTCAGCCAGGCACGCTGGCTGAGGAATTCTGGGAGTTGAAGTCCACAAGTCATAAAAGGGCCAAGTTTGAAAATCCCTGATCTAGATGGTTTTTGGGGTTGTTGTTGTTGTTTAGCCTTCAAATCAGTGTTTATTCCTGCTGACTACCAGGACTAATCCCAACAGTTTTTTTGGCAAAATCTAGAGAAGTGGTTTTCCATTGCCTCTTTCCTGGGGCTGAGAGAAAGGGATTGGCCCAAGGTCGCCCAATTTGGCTTTGTGCTTAAGAGAAGATTAGAACTTACTGTCTCCTGGTTTTTAGTGTGGTGCATTCACCCCTACACCAAACTGGCTCTCTTCTGGGTGTCCCAAAGATGCTTTTTCAAAAGACACCTGTTTTTTGTTTTGTTTTTCCTTGAAAATGTTTTGCTTCTCACTCAAGAAGCTTTTTCAATTCAGAACTGAAGAAGCTTCTTGGATGAGAAGTGAAACGTCTTCAAGAGAAAAAAAAAATAAAGGAAGTCCAGTTGCCCTTTGAAAAAACATCTTGGGGACAACGATGATTTGGATGACTGAGAATCTCCATAAACATCTCTCTTCTGGGTGTCTGCAACCAATTGTTCTTTGGACTGGACATATCTCCTAGACTAGGGGTAGGCAACCTTGGCTCTTTTATGATTTGTGGACTTCAACTCCCAGAATTCCTGAGACAGCCATTCTGAGGGGAAAGGGAGAGGTTTCCAAGCTGAGCCATGCTGGCTTAGGAATTCTGGGAGTTGAAGTTCACGAGTCAGAAAGCAGCCTAGGCCTAGGCCAGGGATAGGCAACATTGGCTCTTTTATCACTCGTGGACTTCAACTCCCAGAATTCCTAAGACAGCCATTCTGAGGGGAAAGGGAGAGGTTTCCAAGCTGAGTCATGCTGGCTCAGGAATTCTGGGAGTTGAAGTCCACAAGTCATGGCAGGGCCATAGTTCCCCCATGCTGGCTCAGGAATTCTGGGAGTTGAAGTCCACGAGTCATAAAAGAGCCAAGGTTGCCTACCCCTATCCTAGACAGATGCAGCCCCTGATTGTTACTAAAGTATGAATGGGAGGGAAAAATTAGGACTTTTCTCAGGATATACAGTAATAGTATCTCCTGTAGGTGGAAAACTTTTTGGGGGGAAAATCATTAGTGGCTCCTGGTTGAAAATACATTATCCAAACATCCAGAGTAACAGCTATTTCACTGGTGGTTCTTATGATGACCCACTAAAGGTAATTCCAGCAAGGTAATAAATCAGAAGGTCACTAGGAAATCATTCACTTTAGCAGTGCCTCGTTTTATAACCATAACTTTTGCTGAAAAAATGCATTCCACTTTAATGTGGGCAGCAAAAGGAAGAGAAGATCGAGGCATTCCCCCCCCCCATAATCATTCCAAATAAGTTACCTTCTCTTTTTATTTTTTTTAAATAATTGTTTTAATCCCCGAGTCTTCATTCTAGTCCAACCCCCTGCTCAAGCAGGAAACCCTTTACCATTCCAGACAAATGTTTGTCCAATCTCTTCTTTAAAACCTCCAGCGATGGAGCACCCACAACTTCTGGAGGCAAGTTGTTCCACTGGTTGATTGTTCACACTATCAGGAAAAATTCTCTTAGTTCTAGGTTGGTCCTCTCCTTGATTAGTTTCCATCCATTTTCAGCTTTGAAAGAACCTGTTTGGATGATCCCATCTTAAGCTCAAAACAGAGCCGCTTTGCCTTTCCAAAGTTTCAGAATCAGAACAGAGCTGGAAGGGACCTTGGAGGTCCTCTAGTCCAACCCCCTGCTCAGGCAGGAAACCCTATACCCGTGGTGGCGAACCTGTGGCACGCAGAGCCCTCTCTGTGGGCACGCGAACCGTCGCCCCAGTCCTAGGCCTTCAGTTGGGTTTTATAAAACCTTTTTTGCTTTAGGCCTCCACCATCATGTGCAAAAAAAAAAAAAAAAGGTTCAATCAATCAATCAATTTCAACTTCTCACAGGAAAAAAAAAATCTCGTAAAGTTGGAATTGATTGATTGAACTTTTTAGTCCCACCCAGTCTGCCATTACCACCACAGCCACACCCACCCAATGGGCCATGCCCACCCGGCACCCGACGATACATAAGTGAGTTTTAGGTTGCAGTTTGGGCACTCGGTCTCTAAAAGATTCGCCATCACTGACCTATACCATTTCAGACAAATGGTTGATCAATCTCCTCTTAAAAACCTCCAGTGTTGGAGCACCCACAACCTCTGGAGGCAGGCCGTTCCATTGGTTAATTGTTCTAACCATCAGAAAATTTCTCTTTAGTTCTAGATTGCTTCTTTCCTTGGTTAGTTGTCATTCATTCATTCATTTTGGTTTAGCTTCTCCCAACAACAGCAGCCCTTTACCACAACAATACCTTTCCTGCTCTGACACCTTTGATAACGAAGAACTTGGAAAAGGTCAGGACTATATGAGAACGTTATTTGGTGGCACTAAGAAGAGCAGTGGTGAACTAATGGAGAAGACAGGACGGTCCCTAATTCCAGCCGAGTATTACAGTTCATCGTCATCCAGGTAGTTTTGGAATACTGCTCTTGTTTCAAAAAAAAAAATATCTAAGTAATCCCACTTATTTCGACAATATGATCTGGGAAAAATACAGAGGGAAACCGTGAAAAATCAGAGAGCTGGGAGAAATAGCAGAGAAAGTTTAGAAATCCAGATGTCTCATTTCAGGACTGATGTTTCTCCCAAGCTTTGTTTTGGGGTAAAAGCGCAATGTGAATGAGATACCTACTCAGTTTAAAATCCTTTGAGGGTAAGACTAGAGTTCCCAAGTTTGAACTGCGAAAATCTGGATAGCCACCAGATTTGGTTTTTCTGTCCTTAGAAGGCCAGATCCTGAAGTTGAATCTCAAATACTTTGTCCACCTAATGAGAAGGAAGGACTCACTGGAGAAGAGCCTAATGCTGGGAAAGATTGAGGGCAATAGAAGAATGGGATGACAGAGAATGAGGTGGCTGGATGGAGTCCTTGAAGCAGTAGGCGTAAGCTTAAATGGACTCCAGAAGATGGTAGAGGACAGGAAGGCCTGGAGGAACGTTGTCCATGGGGTCGCGATGGGTCGGACACGACTTCACAACAACAATAGATAATCCCAATGAGTGGCATGGTGGCCTAGAGGTGGGGCTCTTGCCTCACAATCAGGAGGCTGTGAGTTCAATACTAGGTATCAAATTATTTCTCTCTCCTGGTGCAATGAGTAATTGTCTGCTGTGAACATTGCCTAGGCGTCAGGAAGGGCATCCAGCCAGCAAACTCTCAGATCCATTCAGTCATCCTGACTCCACCCTGATGCAAAGGATTAATAGGGTTGTTAAAATAAAAATATATACTCCCAACAAGACTGGGTCTTCTAACTAAGTTTTGTTATATATATATTTTTAATAGTGTTGGGAACCTTAAAATTACTGAAGTTCATTTCAGTGGCCATTATGTGAAGATAATTAATAGTTCCTCTGATAAAGAAGAAAGCATTGGAGATTACACTCTTCAGCAGAACATTAACGGCCACCCAGTGGCCATTTTTAAATTCCCCCCCAACATCAGAATGAAGCCGAAATCCTGTGTGACGGTAAGTGAAGTATATAAACGATTCATTGTACGGAACTGCCGCAATGCACAACCCTCGTAGAATGGAATATTAAATATGCTATCAAGTTGTGCCTTCCCTTCATCCTTTAGGGCAGTGGTTCTCAACCTGTGGCTCGGGACCCCATTTGGGGTCGAACGACCATTTCACGGGGGTCGCCAAACAAGGCTGTCCGCCATTTTTCCCCCTTTTCTTTGGCCACGCCCCTGGCACCCAGTGATGTATAAGTGGTTGGGGGTCACCACAACATGGGGAACTGTATTATGGGGTCGGCATTAGAAAGGTTGAGAACCACTGCTTTAAGGTGTCCAAAAAGTCCACGTAGTAGCCACTACTGCACAATCCCACCCTCTAGTGTGATAACCAATCTCCTTCCTTCTATCACACCCTGTTCATAAAAACAGTTGTACCACTTAGAAGGGCAACAACTTCTAAGAATGTAGAATACCTTCTAAAGAATGAAGTATTACAGCTATGCCATTGATGACTCTTAATCCAGCAAAAAGAATGATCTGGAAGTTGAGTCATGCAACTGGACTTATTTTCTTGTTGTTGCATGTTATTGGGTCAATAACTCACAACAATCATTTTAAGAGTTGGCACATTCCAACAACTCTCTGCCTACTCCCCTAACCAACTTGTTCGGACAGAAGAAGCGAGTTGGATAAGCAACAAAATTTCAAATCAACACAACAAAAAGTCAGTTGTCTGGCTCAACTTCCAGATATTATAGCTGTGCTTTTCACATTAATGATCTAACCATCTGGCCTCATCATTAAGACTAGTCATTAGGACCAATTATAGAGGCAAAAAAAAAACCCCTTATTACTTTATCCAAATCTGGTGCTTCTCGTTGTTGGCACCAAATATTGCTCTAGAAATATTTCAGTTCTGCAAACAGTTGTGAAGGCTTGTAATAATACTTTGACATTTGCAAGGTGTTGCTGAGCGTCCACAGCAGAATCTTCCCATGTGGTAAGATGTTTCTAAAACAGGCATGCACAACTGTTTGTGCAACTCCTGGAGGGTCCCACTGATCAGGTTGCTGAAAGTGACGTCCCAGTTTTCTGCTTGTTTAAGATGCAAGATTTAAAGTACATAGAATAACCCCATCCAGTGCCAGAAAAGGGAAGGGGAGGGAAGGAAAGGGAAGGGGAAGGAAAGGAAGGAAGGAAGGAAGGAAGGAAGGAAGGAAGGAAGGAAGGAAGGAAGGAAGGAAAAGAAAGAAAAAGAGAGAGAGAGAGAGAAAGAAAAGAAGGAAGGAAGGAAGAAAGGAAGGAAGGAAGGAAGGAAGGAAGGAAGGAAGGAAGGAAGGAAGGAAGGAAAAAGAAAGAGAGAGAGGAAGGAAGGAAGGAAGGAAGGAAGGAAGAAAAAAAAGAGAGAGAGAGAGAGAAAGAAAGGAAGGAAGGAAGAAAAAAGAAAGAAAGAGAGAGAGAGAAAGGAAGGAAGGAAGGAAGAAAAAGAGAGAGAGAGAAAGAAAGAAAGGAAGGAAGGAAGGAAGGAAGGAAGGAAGAAAAAAGAAAGAAAGAAAGAGAGAGAGAAAGGAAGGAAGGAAGGAAGGAAGAAAAAAGAAAGAAAGAGAGAGAGAGAAAGGAAGGAAGGAAGGAAGGAAGGAAGGAAGGAAGGAAGGAAGGAAGGAAGGAAGGAAGGAAGAAAGAAAGAAAGAAAGAAAGAAAGAAAGAAAGAAAGAAAGAAAGAAAGAAAGAAAGAAAACCTCAGGTGTTTAAAGATTATGTCTTCTCTTACTGTGTCTGTTACTATCTCTTCTCTTACTGTGGGAAACGTTCAGGAAGGGCTTTTATGTGATGCTCAATTGCTCCTGATTGTGTTGTATTGCAGGTGTGGTCCATGGATTCTAAAAGGCATCATAAGCCTCCCACAGATTACCTGTGGAAGGAGCTGGACAGGTTTCAGTCAGGCTCTCAATGCACCACGATTCTTTGTAATCCTTCTGGACAGGTAACTCCTTTCAAATTTTCCTGTTTTTTTGATATACAGGTAGTCCTCGATTTACGGCCACAATTGAGCCCACAATTTCTATTTGCTCAGCGAGTTTTTGTTAAGTGAGTTTTGCTCCTTTTTACAACCTTTCCTGCCAGAGTCGTTAAGTGAACTACTGCAGCTGATAAGTTGGTAATGTGGTTGTTAAGTGGATCCGGCTTCCCCATTGACTTGGCTTGTCAGAAGGTCGCAAAACGGGATCACGTGACCAGCGGGAGACGGCAAGCCATCATAAATACGAGCCAGTTGTCAAACATTTGAATGTTGATCACATGACCACGGGGATTCTACAACGGTCGTAAGCGTGAAAACTGATCATGCTTTTCTCACACGGTCATTAAACAAAAGATTGTAAGTTGAGGACCACCTGTAGTTCGAATCAAGCAAGCATTGATTAATGTTAAAGCAGGAAAAGGGTCACCAAGTTCTCTCCTTTTAGTTTTCTTGCCCTGGAGATAAAATTCAAGGCAGGTCTTCCAGCTAGCAGCTTGGCACTCTTAGGTGAACCTCACCGCCCTTCAAGGTCCTTCTGCCTGCTTTCTAGGCCGTGGCTTGGTACACGCCCATCAACTGGAAGAAGAAGACCTCCAAGGTGGTGGAAGCAGAGGGGAGAGTCAGCAGGAAATCTATGCAGGCTATTAGAAGAGCCCAGGCCCAACAACAGCAGGACCAGCATGAAGCAAGAGCGTTTGATGTATGGCAGGCAATGCCTAGTCAAAGCCACCTGACAGAACCCGAAGCAGATTACCTCATAAGGTACTGGGCTGGGAGGATCAAACCCCCTGCTCTGCAGGGGTTTTATTTTATTTTATTTTGTTTTGTTTTATATTTTATTTTTATATTTTATGTTTTATGTTTTATTTTTATATTTTATGTTTTATTTTTATATTTTGTTTTATTTTTATATTTTTTATTTATTTTTTATTTTATTATTTCATTTCATTTCATTTTGTATTGTTTTGTTTTATATTTTGTTTTATTTTATATTTTTATTTATTTTTTATTTTATTTCATTTCATTTTATTTCATTTTATTTTTTATTTTATGTTTTATTATATTTTTATTTTATTTTATTTTATTTCGTTTTGTATTTTATATTTTATGTTATTTTATTTCATTTTAGTTTAGTTTAGTTTATATTTTATTATATTTTTATTTTATTTTATATTTTATATTTTATTATATTTTTATTTATTTTATTTTATTATTTTATTTCATTTCATTTATTTCATTTTTTATTTTTTATTTTATTATATTTTTTATTTTATTTCATTTTATTTTATTTTATATTTTATTATATTTTTATTTTATTTTATTTCATTTTATTTTATTTTATTTTTTATATTTTATTATATTTTTATTTTATTTCATTTTATTTCATTTTATATTTTATTATATTTTTATTATTTAATATTTTTTATTATTTTATTTCATTTCATTTCATTTCATTTTTTATTTTTTATTTTATTTCATTTTATTTTATTTCATTTTATATTTTATTATTTCATTTTATTTTATTTTTTTTACTTTGGGTTCAATTGTGGTCATAAGTTGAGGACCACCTGTACAGCAGCAGCAGCACCATAGAAACCCCACTTCATTTCTCCCTGCATATAAAAGAACTTTAGGCCTATTGATACAACCAACATCTTGCCTTGTTGAGTTGTCCCTGTGAATTGTACTCCAAAGGCCTTTTCGAAAATCAAACGGGATGCATTGCCCATCACAATTTAAAAAAAAAAAAAAAGCATTTAAAGGGTAGTGGAAGAGATCCATAAAATACATAGGAAAGTAAAAAAAAATAGATCTTATATAAAAGAATTAAAGCTACAGCAGCCGACGGATATTAATTCTAGGAGAAGAAGAACAAAAAAAAAAAAAAGGCAGTGTTTAAATGAATCAATTAAGTTGTGGAATCACTTATGTTAATAGTAACCGCTTTAAAAGTAGATTAATCAGAGGGATGTTGGATATGTCTCTCAGCTATAATAATTCAATCTCATCTCTTATATTCAGAGTATCAGTTGCTAGGAGACCAGCAATGGGACAAGACTGTCACATTTCTGGCCTACTTGTAACTGTCATAGATCTTGTTCAACACATTAGGAAAATGTGTCCATTTATAGTTTACTATTCATCTTTTTTTTCCAATTCTCTTCTTTTTTACACCCCCCCCCCCGCCTTTCACAGGTAAAAAAAGAGAGAGAATTTTAGTTTTCTATATTGTGGCATCACAATTCTCCTTGCTTGACATGTTTCCAAAGTGCGGAACCAAGTGCATTGAAATAAAAAAAAACCTAAAAATAAAATCCCGATACAGTCATAAATAGGCTTTATAAACACGCTTTTCTCTCTGGTTCTCTTTTGCCTGCAGGCTGCAAATACCTGCAATATCCATAGTGATAAAGTAGAAAAAGAGGGAAAGTGGAGAGAGAAAGAAAGAATTCTGAAGTTATTTCACACTTTTTAAGTGGTGTTTGTAGAAATCATAATAGGTAGCAAAAGGAAAATGTTTTCTTTCGTTGTGTACACAGCAAAGCTGAAGCAACACAATATTGAACTAGAAATTGATCACATGAACAAAATACACACAGATAAATCATCTTTAAAGGAGGGAAGAGGACATCAAATGTGGACAGATTCCACAAAGTAGGTGGGCCTTCCAAAATTGTATAATTCTTGAGGTGAATTCCTGGGCATGAACAATGTGTTATCCCACAAAGTTTGTGTCCTTTTACCTGACACGTAGGCCCAACAAACCACCCCAGATAGGTGGAAAGAAATTTTTATTTGCAAACAAAAATGTTACTCAAAACCCAAGTTCCAAACTAGACACAGCTCTTGCTTGGAGAAGATTCCTTTTATACAATTTTGAAAAGCACACATTGCCATGAACCAACCATGGAAACACACATCATTATAAGCCACTCATTAAGAGCAACACCTTCAGGGATCATAGTAACACAATTCAGCTAAAAGTTATAAGACAGGGCGAGATCTTTACCTTATCAATAACCAGACTTCAGCGAAATAATAAGTAAAATTCGACTAACGGGCTACCTTATCAGTTGAACCGAGGGAGTGGGATTTCAATCACTGGACACGTGGGTTTTTCTTTTTATAGAGAGAAAAGGATGCCCCCCATTCTGCGTCCTCCTCAGAATTCGTGGTGCCGAAGTCCGAGTTCTCCAACACACCCCCATTATTCTCTGGGGAGAACCCTCCCACCGGGCAGCAAAGAAATCCACATGTTGAGCCAAACGAGGACCCAAGAGGTGAAATCTTTTCCCAATCTTGGTGAGTTTAAGATCATTTCTAGAGGCTGGAGTGGCATGTTTGTTTGTTTACATATATGTGTCATGGTTCCAACCAGGGCTTTTTTTCTCATAGAATGCCCAGAACAGAGTTCTAGCACCTTTTTTGGATGGAACCTTGTAGGGTAGGCAAGATGGGTTGTATGATGTGTGTGAGTTCTGGCACCTTTTTTTTTTTTAGAAAAAAAGCACTGGTTCTGACAGATTAAACTCTTCAAAGAACTTCGAAGCATTGTTAATCTTAAAGAATCTTTATTTGAGTAGCATAGCATTGGCACGTACATAGGCAAAGCGAAAATCTGAATTCCCCTCCCCTGAGCACATAGTATCAAAGCACAATTCCTTCCCCCAGTTAGCAGTCATAAATCACATTCCCCAATTAGTTTGAAATGTGGGCTTCCCCTCCAGCTCTCTAGCCCCCAATTCTTTATCATCTCTTATTTCAATAACCTTGGTTCTCACACTAGGTTCAGTGTTATTATGTCTAGCTAGAGTCTCATGCAGATTCCTCCCCCCAGCATCATCTAACTCTAAAAGCAAAAGCAAAAGAAGAAAATGGTTGCATCTCCATCTGTTGTCAATGCAAAAACATCTGATGTTAGCAGCGTTGACAATATGTAGAGGTAGCCCTCTACTTACGACCCCAATTGAGCCCCGAAGTTTCTGTCGCTAAGCAAGACATTTGTTCGGTGGATTTTGTCCAGTTTTACGACCTTTATTTGCCACATTTGTTAAGTGAAGCACTGCAGTGGTTAAATTAGTAAACACAGTTGTTAAGTGAATCTGGCTTCCCCCACTGACTTTGCTTGTCGTAAGGTTGCAAAAGGGGATCATGTGATCCCGGGACGCTGCAAACAGTCACAGATGTGAGTCAGTTGCCAAGTGTCTCAGTTTTGATCACATGATCCTGGGAATGCTGCAATGGCCGTAAGTGTGAAAAACGGTCATAAGTCCCTTTTTTCAGGGCCGTTGTAACTTCGAACGGTCATTAAATGAACTGTTGTAACTCAAGGCCCACCTGTATGTGTCAGTAGAAATGTAATAAAGGTGACCAAAATGAAAGATTTCCAGCTGGGCCTCTCTGGCATCAGTCCTTCCCAACATCTGTTGGTAACTATTTGTGTGTGTTGTGGCCACAGTAGTACAAGGTTTGCAGTAACCCTATTTCTTTGGGGAAGGTAAAAATGAGATACTGGAAATTCTTTGGGGGAGATGCTGTGTTGTGAGTGATGAGAGTTTGAAGAAAGAGATAGCAGACTGCAAACCTCCAGGGAGATGGCGGCAAAGAGTTTCAGTACAGGGGAAAGGAGACATTAAACCAACACACAGCATGAGCATAAAGTTATGCATTCCACACAGATGAGATCCACATAAGTGACGGAGATGGAGGGGGAGAGGGACGAGAAGGAGGAGGAGGAGGAGAAGGAGGGGGAGGAGGAGGAGGGGAGAAGGAGGAGGGGAGAAGGAGGGGGAGGAGGAAGAGAAAGAGGAAGAGAACAAGGAAGAGAACGAAGAGAAAAAAAAGAAGAGGAGGAGGAGAATGAGGAAGAAGAATAGGAGAATGAGGAGGAGGAGCAGAAGAAGAAGAGGTGGTGGAGGAGGAGGAGAACAAGAAGAAGAGGAAGAAGAGGAGGAAGAGGAGGAGGAGAAGGAGGAAAAGGAACACAAAGAGGAGAAGGAGACCGAGGAGGAGGAGGAGGAAAAAGAAGAAGGGGAGGAGGAGAACGAGGAGAACAAGGAAGAGAAAGAGGAGAAAGAAAAAGAAGAAGAGGAGGAGGAGAATGAGGAAGAAGAATAATAGGAGAAGGAGGAGAACGAGGAGGAGGAGCAAGAAGAAGGTGGTGGAAGAGGAGAATGAGAAGAAGAGGAAGAAGAGGAGGAGGAGAAGGAGAAGGAGGAGGAGGAGGTACACGAAGAGGAGAAGGAGGAGGAGAACAAGGAGGAGGAGAACGAGGAAGAGGAACACGAAGAGGAGGAGGACGTGGAGAACGAGGAAGAGGAAAAAGAAGAAGAGGAGGAGGAGAACGAGGAAGAAGGAGGAGGAGAACGAGAAGAAGAAGAAGAAGAAGAGGAGGAGGAGGAGGGGGAGAGGGAGGAGGAGGAAGAAGAAGAGGAAACTCTGCTATATACAATGACTTTGTAGTTCCTTAAAAGCGGCTTGCGATGGTTTGTCGCCTATGGTTAGCGGTGAGAATGTTGCACTGAAATTCTCCCAAAGGTTTGCAGAATAAGCTAAACACCTTATGGCAGTGGTGGCGAACCTATGGCACGGGTGCCAGAGGCAGCACTCAGAGCTCTCTCTGTGGGCACGTGCACCATCTCCCCAGCCCCGCCTCCCCCCACGGCCCCATCCTCACCAGCAGCCCCCCCCCCGAAGAGAGTCACCCTCAAATATGGTCCATACAGAGCAGTGCAGCCAAGGACATGGCAGTCGGGCAGTAGGGCCATGACTCCGCCCTTGCGTCCTGTCGTGCGCAGTTGATGCTGCGGGGCGCAGGTGGAAGGTGTGGCTGCCATAGCACTGCTGGGCCACCTGGGTGATCTGCAGCAGGCCGTAGAGGCAGTGGATGGCCCTGCAGCTGCGGGCGGAGCTGGGGCAGAGCGGGCAGGGGCGGGGGGCGGAACGGGGGTGGCGGGGGTGGCAGGGAGGGGCCGGTTTTGGGGCACTCAGTCTCTAAAAGGTTCGCCATCACTGCCTTATGGAAATAAGGCCGAGCCCCTCTTTCAGTTTGCCCACAACCTCATGCCTGCTGCACAGGCACATATGAACGTCTAAAAATGTGGCTGGCTTGCCCACCGGTCCCAACATAGTCTGAACGATAGAAATGCAAAAATATTGCTGCTCTTTCAGGTGGCTTTAAAGCTCCCACAGGCTCCCACACTCCCGTAACTTCTCCTGCACCTTTTCAAGAATGCAGATTGAAAAACAACAACTGTGTGATTTCTCACAAGTGCATAAATCTGTAAGCATCCTTTGAAATATAGTCCTGGCGGAGGGGGGGGGGACCTGCCATTCCTGCCTACAAATCACTTCTCCGGTTGCCTCCAGTCACGGGGAGAAGATGGAGAAAACAGATTTTATCGCTGTAAATCAATTTCCACTGGTAGGAATTATTAAGGCTCCGCGCAGGGAATATATGGGGAGTCGGGAAGAGGAGCTATGCTCCAAGAAAAAGAATGAAATGATTGAAGCGGAGGAGATATTGAGAGGAAAGGAACCTCAGGAGAATGTGGGTTGTGTGCTGCACAAATGGAACAGACAACACCATATTAACTGGGAACATTGAAACTGCTTTAGTAGTATTTAAATCTACAGTATGGGAATATTAAAACTGACCACAAGGATGCAATTCTATCTCATCTAGGATCAAAATGCAAATGTTAACATTGACCTCCTTGTGGTTGACCCTTGTGGGAGAGAGGGGGGGAGAGGGAGGGAGAGGGAGGGAGGGAGGGAGAGAGGGAGAGGGAGAGGGGGAGAGAGAGAGAGAGAGAGAGAGGGAGGATAGAAATATAGATAGATAGCAATAGATGATAGATATAGATCAGTGGTTCTCAATCTGTGGGTCGGGACCCCATTTAGGGTCAAACGACCATTTCACGAGGGTCGCCAAACAAGGCTGTCCGCCATTTTCCCCCCCTTTTCTTTGGCCACGCCCCTGGCACCCAGTGATGTATAAGTGGTTGGGGGGTCACCACAACATGGGGAACTGTATTATGGGGTCGCAGCATTAGAAAGGTTGAGAACCACTGATATAGATAGACAGACAGACAGATGATAGATAAGTAATAGATAGATGGTAGTAATGATGATGATGAAAGAAGATAGATGATACAGATTATAGAATATAGATAGAAAAATGATGGATGGATAGACAGACAGACAGACAGACAGATAGATAGATAAACATAGATATATAGAGAGTTGATAGATAAGTAATATATATATATAAGTAGATGGTGGCAATGATGATGATGATGATGATGATGGTGATGAAGGAGAAGGAGAAGATAGATGATACAGACTATAGAAGACAGACAGACAGACAGACAGACAGATAGATAGATAGAGATAGATAAATAGATACTGTAGATAGATAGATAGATAGATAGATAGATAGATAGATAGATAGATAGATAGATAGATAGTTGATAGATAAGTAATATATATAAATATATAGATGGTGGCAATGATGATGATGATGATGGTGATGAAGGAGAAGGAGAAGATAGATGATACAGACTATAGAAGACAGACAGACGGACGGACGGACGGATGGACGGACAGACAGATAGACAGACAGATTATATGAAATACTGGCAATGCTATTTTGTATTTAAAAGTGCCCATGCATTGGAATCAAACGTTTGGGCTCCAAAATTTATAGGGGTCTCATTCAATTCTACCTATTATGGAGCAATGATCAAATTCCTATGCCTTCTTATTCTCTTTACTGAAAAATAATAGAGTTTAGTGTTGCTGTTGGCTCCCTGGTGAATTTACAAAAAAGCCCATATCAAGATTTATTTTTCCTGTGGGTTTTTTTTTCTCCCCAGGAATCAATAGACCAACACCACCTTCATTCCCTTTTATTACAGAAGGAATTCATCTTTCCCTGAAATGTATTATCCCTACTAAGGTCGCCCAGTAGAGAAAAAAATAATAATAATGTGGCTGTGAAGCTTTTTTATTTTCTATGCATAACTAATGTAGCCATCAGCGGCTTTATAGCTACACTATGGAACTGGAGTCTCTTGGGAAAAGATTTATATACCTCATTGAGAAGGAGGACCCTGTTTAGGCAGGTTTTAGATCTTTGGAAAGATGCCTTGGGGAAGGTGCGGAAAAAAGAGACCTCTTGGGTGGTGTTCACGACCAATATTATGGCCATTTATTTATCTTGATTGCCCAGAGCAGAAATGATGTATAGGATTTTGTAGTAAATACTCATGCATATTTCCAGAAGGGGGGGGGAAACCCACGTATCTCATTATTTAAGTACAACGTTCTTCAGATGATTAGATATGTTTCTAGCCATCTGCTCTACCGCATATAAAGGTTAGAGGAGGGGGGAAGAATTATTGAAATTTTCTTTCCCTCCACAGAGCTTACTATCAATGTGACCAAGGCAGGGCTTATGCTAAAAACATAATTTCGATTTAAAAAAATGGGTTGATTTTTAATATATACAAACACAAGCCTTTTCATTCTACTTTAATGAAAAGAAGGACTGAAGAAAGAAGTGTTCCAATATTGGAAGGGCTGCCACAAAGAAGAGGGGGGGGGGTTTCAACCTATTCTCCAAAGCACCTGAAGGCAGGACAAGAAATAAAGGATGGAAACTAATCGAGGAGAGAAGCAACCTGGAACTAAGGAGGAGAACAATTAATCAGTGGAATGGCTTACTTCCAGAAGTTGTGGATACTGGAGGTTTTCAAGAAGAGACTGGACAGCCACTTGTCTGGAATGGTATGGGGTCTCCTGCTTGAGCAGGGGGTTAGACTAGATGACCTCCAAGGACCCTTCCAACTCTATTAGTCTGTTATGTTGAGAGGCCAAGAAATAGTCATTCATATATTCTATTTCTAATTCTATTCTTATCTCTTTATCTTTATATTTATCATTTTTATCTATCTATCTATCATCTATCTATCCATCCATCCTTCCATCCATCCATCCATCCATCCTTCCATCCATCCATCCATCCATCCATCCATCCATCCTTCCATCCATCCATCCTTCCATCCATCCATCCATCCATCTATCCTTCCATTCATCCATCCATCCATCCATCCATCCATCCATCCATCCATCCATCCATCCATCCATCCATCTATCTATCTATCTATCTATCTATCTATCTATCTATCTATCTATCTATCTATCTATCTATCACTTCTATGAACATGGAGGCCTCTTATTTTTTTTTTCATTCATTCTCAGGTCTCACAATTAAAATCTGAGCAGGAAAACCAAATTAGATTGTGCCCTTAGATAAATCCTTACATTCACTAGCCACATCTGGCTAGCTATGAGCTTGTTTGAAATGTTGAATATATCAAATAGGCTTCGCTAGAATCCTTACAAGTCAAAATCCTCATACCCCCCCCCAAAAAATAACAGCGTTTAATAATAAAAAAAAAAGATAAGAGACTGATATTTTGAAAGCTTTAAAATCACAACAACCATGTTAGCCTAAGCATTTGAAGTTTGCAAAATGTTTGTTTTTAACCTTTGCTATTATATTAATTTAAAAATAAATGGGGGAGGGGCAATTGATTCTGATCTCCCTGAATTTAATTTCATTTAGAGACATTGTATTTCATTTTTCCTCTACAGATAGTTCCTACTCAAGAGAAGGTTATAAGATAAAGCTAGCCACAGCAGACAGGAACAAGAAAAGACGATTGAAGCCACCTCGGTCAGCTGGGGTAAGTAGGAAAAAAAATGTGAGTTTGATTTCCATTGAAATCCTGTTGCTGTACCTGGTACTTTACAGAGGAAAATTAACACAAAATGCTTTTTCTCAAGAACCTTACAATCAGGGAGAAGGTGGACTAGAAGACCTCTAAGGTCCCTTCCAGCGCTATGATTATATGATTCTTTGATTAGGTGCCATCAGTTTGGTGTTGACTCTTATTCACCAAATATTTGGACCTTCCCTGGTGTGATCTGACCCCAGTCTGGGTCTTGAGATCTTCCAGAATTGCACCCATCACCACTGTAACCAAGATGGCATCCATATCTTGACCAAAAAAAGTCCTTTTAGACCATCAAGAAGGCCATCCCAGCTGCCATCTTGACTTCTTCTCCATCCCCAAGGTTGTCCTCACTTCAATGTAATGGATGATGGACCGACATTAAAGAAAGGAAAAGGAAACAGCCACCATCGGTGGAGAATGAGGAAACAGACATGAAGAAATGAAATTGCGATCACTCATAATTTGCGACTTCACTCGGAACTGAAGAATGTCTGGTTGTGGCCCTTTGTATGAACATTCAGATCTCAGAATAAATATAAAATATGCCCAATATTCGTGATGAACAGTTTGGGAGAGATGACCGTTTGATTTCCAGGTGGCACAGTCGGGATCAAAATCCTTCCATTGGGATAAAAAAGGTACAGAATTGTTCACAAAGCTTACATTTTATTTCAGAAGGAAAAGGAGAAGTGCGTATACAGGAGGAAGATCATATTTTAAAATACTAGAAGTTTGAATCTAAATTCCTAAAAAATTTCATAGCTTAGAGCAGTGGTTCTCAACCTTTTTAATGCCCCGATCCCCAACCGGTTGTAAGTCAAGGACTACTCAACCGGTCGTAAGTCGAGGACTACTCAACTGGTGCAGCACCGTTTGCAGAATGAGACTTTTGGCGGGCTCAGTAGGGCAGAGACAGCCTGGACAATTCCTATTGGCTTTTGAAAGCCAATAGAATTAGACTCTATTCTAGAGAGTCTATTCTATTGGCTTTCAAAAGCCAATAGAATAAAAGAGAGTAGCACAGCTAAGGAAAAGGGAAAAAAATGGCGGACTGCGTTGTTTGGTGACCCCCGTGAAATGGTTGTTCGACCCCAAATGGGGTCCCGACCCACAGGTTGAGAACCACTGGCTTAGGATCTCTGCATAGGGAGGTCAAAAGTGGCAAGATGGCACACCGTCCACCACAATGTGCCAATTCAGAATGGTCCAGCTTTTGCATCAATATCTTCTTTCCACAAGGTTTTCAGTTTTGACCACCTCCCCCACAGCCTATTCTGCTGGAGCCCAATTCGTTGGCATCATTTAAAGAACTTCTATACCAGTGATGGCGAACCTTTTAAAGAACGAGTGCCCAAACTGCAACCCAAAACCCACTTATGCATCGTCGGGTGCTGGGTGGGTGTGACCCATTGGCTGGGTGTGGCCAATTGGGTGGGCATGGCTGCGGTGGTAACGGCAGACTGGGTGGGATTAAAAAGTTCGATCAATCAATTCCAACTTTGCAAGACTTTTTTTTCCCGTGAGAAGTTGAAATTGACTGATTGATTGAACCCTTTTTTTTTTTGCGCACGGCAGTGGAGGCCTAAAGCGAAAAGGTTTTATAAAACCCAGCTGAAGACCTAGGACTGGGGCGACGGCGCGCGTGACCACAGAGAGGGCTCTGAGTGCTGCCTCTCGCACCCGTGCCATAGGTTCGCCACCACTGTTCTATACAATTAAGGACAAAAAATTAGGTTTATTTGATCGGAAGTAATTTCCTACTAATTTATATCAAAGAGAAATAAATCAAAGCACCACAACCACTTACTTATGAAGGAAAATATGTGTTAAGGTTGCTGTGTCTACAGCAATTTTTCTTCATTTGTCCATCATGCAGAGAATTTCTGCAAGAGAAACCCTAACACATATTTATGATTAAGTTGGGAGCCAGGTTTTTTATTATTGTTGTTATTATTTTGTTTTGCTTAGGCACCTTTCTTATGTATAATATCTAACAGCAGGTGTGCATTGCATTTTCTTTTCATGCTTCTCAAACGTTGTGCAGCAATTTGACAGGCCTCCCACTGTTTCTCCTAATACTTTATGGGGCTGGATACAACCTGGGTTTCTCTCTCTCTCTCTCTCTCTCTCTCTCTCTCTCTCTCTCTCTCTCTCTCTCTCTCTCTCTCTCTCTCTCTCTCTCTCTCTCTCTCTCTCTCTCTTAGCACCTATGCTTATCAATTTAGGAGACCATCTGTTGCATCTGACAGAGTAGACTTTCATCCATCAATCTAGTCAGTGTGTACTTAGCGTAAGAGGGTTAGTAGTCTTGGGACTTCAACAAACAGCAGGTATGATCTCCATCCTCAAGTGACCAACCAGTGGAGTTTCCCAAGGTGAGTTGACGTTCCTCACCATCCATTCAGAAACCAATCGTTTTCAAAAATTCATTCAGGTACTACTCCTCGACCAAGCCTGTTTTTTTAAATAAACACACCGCTTGTTTTGAGTCCCTTTTCTTCCTATTGTTGATATATCCTGTGTAATCCTCGCTAGTCATTTTCTTTAATGGGGCCCATCAGCAGACTTCATGGTTGAGCAAAACTTCAAATTCAGATTCAGTCTCTTCCCTTCAATGTCTAACATTCCACCCGATATATTGCACTGCTTTTATGGAGCAATTCCTCTTGTCCTTCTGCTTCTTCTCCTTCATCCTCTCTCCTCCCTCTCCATCTCCCTCGTCCTCTCTCCTTCTCCTTCCCCTTCTTTCCTCCTCCTCCTTCTCTTTTTCTTTTACCCTATCTCCTGCTTCTCCTTCTCTCCTTCTCTTCTTCCTCTGTCATGTTTTGAGACCTGTGTGCCTTGGGAAAATGAAACATCACCCAAGATATTAAAACAATAGTTGAGATGAAGTGAGAAACTATTGGTTGAAAACCTACTGGCTTATTACAGCCTACTGAATAATGGCTGGGGGGAAACCGATGGGAGCAGGTGACATATAAGCCAAAGGCTCTCTTAATGTAGAAATGCCTTGATGGAGATCTGCAGAAGCTGTTGACTTGGTAAAAAAAAAAAAAGGCTGAAGTCCAGACTGTCCAGATAATGTTCAGAAGAAGCTCAGACAGATATCTCCCTAATCCAATGAAGTATAAGAAGGAAGAGGAGATACAGCACAATCAAACCTGCAAGATTCTATTATTACAGCCAGTGTCAATAAAAATAGTTTTAACATTGCTGTGGAGTTGATTCCATGGTCTGATTTTGCTAGTGGGTCTGGCAGTTGATTAAGGTTGAGATACTTTGATTTGGCCTTTCTGTAAATTGGGATGTTTGGGGATCCATCTGCAAGCAACATCATTTCATAGTGGTACCTAATATTTGGTAGGTCAGATAAGCCTCATGAGGCATATTGGTCGATTGGTTTTAGAAGTCAAAGAAAAATAGATATTGAGTCCAATTTTGTGGTTGGCTAGGGTGGCTGTATGACAACCTTCACATTCATTATTTTGAGAAAGAAGGGCTGACTTCTAAGAGGATAGGACAAGGGGATAATCAGCAGATAATCCAACTGGCCATTTTCTCAAATCAGACATGGTCTTGATCAAGGGGGTAATGGCCCTCTGCAGATCTTCTTAGCTATATATTTCCACCCAACCCTTTCTTTTTTCCACGCTGCGCTATATAATTTTAATAGATGGAGACGATGAGATGTGTCCTTAGGGCACACATTTCTGCCAGTGAAATATCTGGTGGGGGGAGCCTTGTTACTTATAATTAAGCTAAGTGGCTTAATTTTTACATGCATTTTCTCATTAAATTACTCAATCAGATACCCATTAGCCTGAACTTCAAATCTGAAACAGAGAAATATAGGACATTCTTTTAAGCCAAGAGAACAATCTTTAACATTGGCTATCTTCTTAGGAACATGGTCCCTCTTATCACTGGGACTTGGGTTCGGCCACTTTAGCTGACTGTGTTCAGCAGGTCAGCGGTTCAAATCTCACCGGCTCAAGGTTGACTCAGCCTTCCATCCTTCCGGGGTAGGTAAAATGAGGACCCAGATTGTTGGGGGCAATGTATATATATATATATATATATATATATATATATATATATATATATATATATATATACACATTGCTTACTGGTGTACACCGCTTAGAGAGTGCTTGCACTTAAAGCGATATATAAGTCTCATAAATAAATAAATTTCTATCCACAGGTAGGTAGGCTTGTGAATCAAGGTTTTAGGGAAACTGAGTTTCTAAAAGGCAAGGAATTGAGGCTGGGGTCTTGGTGGTAAGGGGAGGTCCGATGTTCTTTGACTATGCATTCAATCCGTTGAGTTGTACCCTTGGAATCCATTCCTGGGTGTGTGGCTATTAATTCTCCTTTTCTCAAGAATCAGATAAATATCCAAAGTCTTCAATTTGACGGTCTGGGATGAACACTGATGTTTTGATTGCTCTATGGGGAACTTAACATTTGCATCCTACGATTTTTCTTTCTCTGACTGGAGCCCTCCATAATAAAATGTGATTTTTATATCAAATATTTTTGGGGGCAGGCGAGTGAAATTACCGAGCAGCACAATTACAAAGCCTTGGCGGCAGGGACTCTGTGTCCCTGCATATTTTCTTTGAAGCTCTGATCTGAAACAAATCAACATGAAATACCGTTTCCCTGACATCTTTTAAGGCAAGAGGGACCGTGACTTTCAAAATTCTGCTTCCCGAAAACCTCCCGAGACGTTTTAAAAAAAATCATCTTGTCTGTAGATTCAACTTTGCTAACCAAAAAAAGAGAGAAAACAATGCATCCTATTTCCAAACACTGAATAATAGATGATTGATCAACCTACTGTATTTTTTCCAGAGCCTCCCTAAAAAAAGAGAGAGAGCTACAGAAAGTTTTTTTTTTTTCTTTTAATGTCCTCTGTGCCCAAATTTTGTTAGATGAGCTAAGTTGTCCTCCAAGGGACTCTTGTACATTAATGTCTTTTGCAACTAAGAGTCTCGCGTTTGTTGGTTTGTTCAGCTGAGGTGTTCGCTGCAAAGATTAAAAGCATCAAGCACAAGGGAAAGTGACAAAATAAGAAATAGATGACACATATTCCACCTCGGCTTTAGGGCCAGACATACAACACAAATATTGAAATAGTCCCCAACCTACGACCGCAGTTGACTCCAAAGTTTATCTTGCTATGTGAGAAATTCGTTCAATGAGTTTTGCCCTATTTTACGATCTTTCTTGCCACAGTTATTAAATGAATCACCACAGTTGTTAAATTAGTCACACGGCTGTTGAGTGAATTTGGCTTCCCCACTGATTTTGCCTATCAGAAGTTTGCATATTTTAAGACCTCAGCTTCCATAGTTGGGATTGTAGGATGGGAAGTTCTAGTTCAGGAGTAGGCAACCTTGGCTCTTTTATGACTCGTGGACTTCAACTCCCAGAATTCCTGAGCCAGCCATGCTGAGGGGAAAGGGAGAGGTTTCCAAGCTGAGCCATGCTGGCTCAGGAATTCTGGGAGTTGAAGTCCACGAGTCATAAAGTGGCCTAGGCCTAGGCCAGGGGTAGGCAACCTTGGCTCTTTTATGACTCGTGGACTTCAACTCCCAGAATTCCTGAGCCAGCATGGCTCAGCTTGGAAACT